AGATAAAACCAGTAAAACACAGTTCTGGGATATATAAAGGACATTTCTGCTGCATGATCCCCTCTCAACCTGAAACACTGGTGATCCCATGATGCTTTATGAGACCTGGAGGCACTCACCTTGTTCAAGAGATCACAGAATATCCCAAGTTGCAAAGGACCACCACAAGCTGCAGTTGGAAAGAATAGTTTGCAGTTAGAAGAGCCTTTATCCTGAGGTTCTCCCAGAAGGACCATCTCCTTCTAAGCCAGGTACAGAGGAAAGCAATTCCCTTTTAGGCTTCTCCTGGGTGAAAAAAAAAAAAAAAAATTAAAAATCCAAGATGCAGGAAACTGAAAAGAGCAAATAAATCTTTTAGCACCGTCCTGAATTAGGGAGGTGTTCCTTTGCACACTCGGAAAGCATCACTGCCAGGTGAGGTGACCAGGCAGCCTCTATGTGGCTGCAGTGGTTTCACACACAAAAAGCCTCAGTGATCTGTTACCTCTCCTCAGGTGGGAGTTACCCTCTCCACATCCAGCCAGGACTAACAGGTCAGGGAGTGCTGCTGGAGCTGCAGAGCCAACACACTCAGCGTGGGTCAAACCGCTGCCCGAGGCGGCCGGACTCCATCGGTGGGTTCAGATGTGTGACCAGCCCCAGCAGCCACGGAGCTGATCAGACCTTAAATAATTCTCCCTGCTCACACAGGGTTCGTGTGGCTGCAATACCTTGGCACAGGTTTGAGACGGAGCTCCACAACACCTCACGTCAAGAGGATTTTTCACAAGAGCCTGGTGGGTGCATCATCTCCCTCCCCGATTCCAGCTTTTCGTGCCGCCGTCCTCGGCCCCGGGCAGCACCACAGAGCAGTAAATGCAGAGGTGGTGCATGGCACGAGGGGAGGGAAGTACTGAAAGAGGGACAGCATCGACCTGGTCACCTGCCTTGCTGCAAAAGCAGCTAAATCTTGCCCAGGCAAAGCCGAATTCCTCCTAAACAGGAGCAGCAGCAGCGCAGTCTCCTCTGAGTGCCATGAGATGCTGCAGGGGATGGATACCTCGCCCAAAGCCAACCTGCGGGCACACACTCGCCTTCCCCACCGGCTGGTAACGCTCGCGGGCTTTCAGGACTGCTGTTGGATACCCACACTCTGGAGAGCAAAGTCCTCCCGGCCCTACCCAGGAGAAAGGAGCCGGAGCGTGGGTGGAGCCAAGCGGCTGTTCCACCCACAGGTAATCTCGTTTCCCTGGAACCAGCCGCACTCACACTGCAAAGGTCTTTGCTCTGCTGGCAGGTGGAAAGCGCTGCCTGACAGGGCTTCGCACTCTCCGGGTAAACACACACACGCTCCCACACCCAGGGACAGCTGCTGCCCATATAGACTGTTCTCCACTCCAGGCTATCCCTGTGGATCACTCCTGGGAGGGTAAAGGTCTGCCCCTGCCTTCCCTCTGCGCTTGGTTTCACACACAGCAGGACATTTGGAAGACAATTTCCCCCCCCCCCCCCCCCCCGTTTAATAACCCACAGGTCTAGTTTGAGGTCTGTTCAAGGCACTTGGCAAAGCCACAGGGTGGTGGTGGCTTGACTGGGAACACCACTCTGGACATGCTGGCTGCCTTTCCTGCCAGGACACAGCTGGATTACCCCCCCAGGACTTATTTTAGAGTAACCCACAGCAATGCTGTTGGAGTGCACAAGGCAATCCAGAGCAGTTACTGATCTTCCTGCTATTCCCAGGAAAGGCAGCTCTTCTTATTTGGAAATTAAAGTAACAACTCCCCCAGAAAGGCAGTATAAGGGGAACTGTGAGACCTGGCTTACACATAACCACCTTTTCACTCACCTTTTGTAAGAATTTATTCCCTGCTACAAGCCACAGCTCCAGATGGGAGGTGATTTTGCCTCTCTGCTCTGCTCAGGTGAGATATCCCAACCGGATCTCTGCACCCAGCTCTGGGGGCACCAGCACAGGAAGGACAGGGACCCATTGAAGTGAGTCTAGAGGAAGGACACCAAGTTGATCAGAGGGTTGGAGCACCTCTGCTATGAGGAAAGGCTGAGAGAACTGGGATGGTTCAGCCTAGAAAAGACAAGGCTTCGAAGTGACCTAATTGTGGCTTTCCAGCACCTGAAGGGAGCCCACAGTGAAGCTGGAGAGTGGCTTTGGACAAAGGCCTGGAGTGACAGGACAAGAGGGAATGGCAAGTTTAGATTAGATATTGGGAAGGAATGGCAAGTTTAGATTAGATATTGGGAAGAAATCCTTCCCTGGGAGGGTGGCGAGGCCCTGGCACAGGTAGCCCAGAGAAGCTGTGGCTGCCCCATCCCTGGAAGTGTCCAAGGCCAGGTTGACAGCACTGTTACACATGGGGGGGGGGGAACAGCACACAGCTTCTGGAGCTGCTTTACTGGCCAGTGAGGCGTGAAGAGATTTCTAGAGCTTTCTAGAGCTTCTGCTGATAGGTGCTTCCTCCTTTTGGCCCCTTTGTGGCACCTCTTCGGGGACGTCACAGGATACAGCACTGGCACGGAGAGGGGCAGAGGAGGGTGGCAGAGCCCTGGGGCTGCAGGAGGATCCCGGCACATTTACCTGCCCCGGTGCTGGGCGGTTCTGGGCTTGCCACTCCTCTGAGCGAGGGTGAAGGGCAGCTTCCTCACCTCCTCCTGATATCAGCTCCCTCCCAAGGCAGGCGGGAGTCCCACACGGAAGTCAAGGTGCTGCTCAGCGCACATGAGTCCTCGGGCAAAGGAGCTGGGGACGGAAACCACGCGACAAGAAAGCCCAGGAGCCTCCAGCCCATCTTGCCTGTGGATCTGCCCCGAGGAGCACCAGGACAGAGGAAGGCTCTCTGCTTCACCATGCAGGTAGGAACAGAATCTGCTCCAATACTTCCAGGGTGTTGCTTTTCAGCACCTCTAAGCACCTGTGCCTTGGAAACATGGGATGAACTAAGCTCTGATCTCTACCGCTCATCTGCTTCTGGCCTTCAAGGTATTCCAAAAGCAGTACAGGGGCAGCTCTGCCGTTTTTCTTCTCTAGACTGGAAGGAAAGATGCGGTTTCCTTCCCTTGAAAAAGCCAGGCAAATTCTCCAAGATCAGGGCAGGTGGTAAAGGTCCAGGTGTGCCGTCTGCCTCTCCAGCTGAAGGCTGTCCCACTTCTCTCAGGAAGCCGTTAGGTAACATGGAAGTGCTCCAAGGGAAGCTGCGTGAGAAACATCCCGGAGGGAAGAACAATTTGATCATCTCAGTGTGGGTGATGGGAACAACCCAAACCCTCACCAATCCATGACTGGAAAGGAACACAAGGATGCCGGATCCTATCCAGGTCCTTGGCCTGAGTTACTCACACAGGTGACCCCACTCCCAGCACAGGGGTGCCTGTGGCCATTTCCCTGAAGGGATGCTCAGGGCAGTGGGTTACCTGGCCTGTGACAGGGGAGAAGCATCACTGATACACCTGGAGGCACCTCAGGGCATGGAAACCCTTTTTAACATTGAAATTCCTGCTTCCCATTGTGCCAATCACTTTGCATAATGGCACTTCCAAATCCTGCTCTGACCACAGGGCAGGAGGGAGTGAAACCGAAACTGTCCTCCCCGGGAGCAGGGAGAGAGTCCAGGGTTCATACAACCAATGCAGAGCCCAGGTGGCCTGCTCGTGATCCGACTCCCTAATCCCTGGGGCAAAAAAATTAGGTGTGGGAATAACAATGATCTGAAGTCCCTGCCCTCTGCAGCTGCCCCTGCCTACACATCTCTGCCTTCCCATCAGGAACTGGAGTGACAGGACAAGGGGGGATGGCTTCGAACTGACAGAAAGTAGGGTTAAATGAGATATTAGGAAAAGATTCCAACTGGGGTCAGCAGCAGCAGGACAACAGGAGGTGGCATTTTGGAATGCCCCAAGACCGCCCTGTCCCCAACAGGTGGCTTCCCCTCCACAGCTCCGTGATCACAGGTGGTGCTGGCAGGGAATCTCTGCAGGACGAGGCTGGTGCACATGGAGGCTGTGAGAAACCAGCCAGGCAGGAATGAGCCCACACGACAGGGGAGAGCTGTGCCAGGCCAGATCTGTGCCAGCACCAGAGTGTTGGCAATAGGGCAGAGCCCAGTGAAGCTCCCACTCCCAATCCTCTGTGCCCAGATGAGCAGAGAGGGGCTCAGCCAGGGACAGGGAGAACTGCCACACCCTGTCCTGCCCCCTAGACCTGGTTAGAGCTCTGGCAGAGCAAGTGACAACACCATAACCCCCCCTCTGCCTCTTGCCCTAAATTGAGTACCTTTTATCCAAGAGAAGTTCTGGCTCTTGTTACAACAGCACCTCTGGGCGAGAACATCCCTCTTCTCAAGCATTCCCACTTTGGCTTCCTGGCTGTCAGTCTCCTCATGGCTCCTGTGCTGTGGCTGATCCACGTGAGCGAATATCTGGTGGAACATTTCAGCCCTTTCCTCATACTGGCCTCTCCTGCATCCATGGCCTCATTCTCCAGTGAAAGCTTGGGATCCAGATCTTACATCAGGGCACAGTTTCACCACCATGGCTCTGCTCCCATGATTACAGCTGGAGGAACCCGTCTGGCTGGGCTGTCTTTCAGGTCACAGTGTCTCTGGTGACCCTGAGTGACAATACCCCCATCCCTGGCAGCTCCTTCCTGCTGCTGCACTGCATCACCAGCCCTCTGTGCTGCTCTTTGTGGGGACACACCATGAGTCACAGAAAAGAAACCCACAGGGCCACCTTATGGCTTAAGCTGAAGGGAGGCAGGGCTAGATGGGATGTTGGGAAGAAGTTCTTCCCTGTGAGGGTGGGGAGGCCCTGGCACAGGTTGCCCAGAGCAGCTGTGGCTGCCCCATCCCTGGAAGTGTCCAAGGCCAGGCTGGATGTGGCTTGGAGCAACCTGAGCTAGCGGAAGGTGTCCCTGCCCATGGCAGGAGGTGGGACTGGATGGGCTTTAAGGTCTCTTCCAACAAAAACCATTCCAGGATTACCTGCTTTGTGCTCACCCAGAGCTGCACCCTTGGGTGTCCAAGCGTAATTCCCTGTAAACAGGAAGGTGGGAGCTGCCTTGGCCCCTGCACAGCCGTTCTCTCCAGAGCCAGGGACACACAGGAGGTGAACAGGGAAAAGCCAGAGTTCCAGCAGCATTTGGACAATGCTCCCAGGCACGTGGACTTTTGCAGTGGTCCTGTGCAGTGCCAGGGGCTGGATTCGATGATCCTTGTGGGTCCCTTACAACTGAGGATATTCCTTGATACTATGATCAGCACCTCGTCCTTCCCTCTCTGTCCCTTGGCTGCAGACTGAGGCATCCAACATGTTTTCCAAGGATTTTTTTTTCACCTGCTCTGCTGCAAGGCAGTGCCAGCCTGTCTGTGCCTCACTCTCCCTTCACTGGAATTTAAAAGTACCTTCCCCACCCTCCCCAAAAAGCCAACAGTGCCCTATCTGACGGGAACAACAGACAAATGGAAAAGCCTGATTAGAGCCCGTAAAATCCACTGTAGCATGGAGAGACAGGGTGAAGTGTTGACACTCTTGCAGTACAAATGTCAGGGCATCAGGTGAAACAAGAAGGAGCAAAGTCCAGAGCAGATGGAGGTTTTTTTTCTCCTGGCCAGTTCCCTCACAGCCCTGGGGCACCGTTGGGCATCATGAGTTCTAGAGGAGGCTGCTCACCCTCACAGGGCAGCAGCCCCTCCATCATCCTCGAACACAAATCCCCAGCTGGCTCAGGAGAGCCCCAAACAGGCGACCAGGAGCGCGTAGGAGAAGGTTTTGGGCAAGACTGCTCTCACCTTCCTCCCTGGGCATCCCTCCGAGGCTGCTGGGAGAAGAAAACACAGGATGTCCCAGGGAGCCCACTGGAGCCTTCCCTTCACTGGTTTTCTTTTCAGCAGGATGAAATTCTGTTGACTCCCTGGAGGGATTTTCCTGTGGAGGACACGGACCCCTTCACCCCCCCGGTAAGCTCTGCTCCCTCTGCACCCACAGCGAGTTCAGCCCAGCTCAGAGAGGGGAGCGGGGCAGTGCCAGAGAAGCAGCTGCCTCAGTTTCCCCATCCCCTTGCTCATTCCCAGTTCCCCTCTACACAGCCACAATGAAGCTCCAAACCTCTGAGAGGCTGGAGCTGGGAGGGAGAGCTCTCAGCTTTCCATCCCTAATAATTCCCTGGTGTTTTTGTGGGTAGAGTGAAGAGAAGTGGGATTTTGTTCTGGTGAGCGACATCCATGAAGTGGGCAGTGAGAAGGAGACCAAGAGGAAGAAGTTCCTGGATGAGCTGAGCAAGAAGGGGTTCACCATCAAGGTGAGGGGCTGTGGGAGGAAAAGACAGCAGAAACTTGGCCTGGCTTGGGTACCTGCATCCCAGGAAATGAACCACTGAGCTGATCACCACATCAGTGCTGGAAAATAAATCTCTTGCTCCATCAGAGGAAAGAGACCACAGCCACTGGCACAGCCCCTGGCCCTTCCAGCTCTGCCCCTTCCCTGCCCCTCTGCTCTGTTCTAACAGCCTCTCTCTTCCCCCCACTAGAAAATTGAGGACATGAAGCTATTTTATGGAGTCCGTGCCCCAGAGCAGGTCTTCCGGAAGTACGAGTGTCTTCTGGGGAACCCTGACAAGAAGCTCCAAAATGAAAATTCCCCCCAGGACATCCCAATGACCACCAGGTGGGTGCTGAGCTGACTTCCAGCATCCTGCACTCACCATTCTCCATACCAGCATCCATTATCCAGCTCGGCTCTCCCCGTCTTCCCTCCATGGATTTTGGTGCACACCTTCTCCCTTCCCTGCCCTGCTTTTCCTGGGCCACACAACACAATTCTGCATCCCAGAGCAGCCTTTAACCACGATTTCTCCTTGTTCAGGATACGGATTGTGAACTTAATCCTGCGGCACACGGTGACACCTGACTTGGGTAAGGGAACGGGGATCACAGGGGTGATGCTCAGCCTGGATCTGCAGGAAAACTCCTGCCCTATGGTGGGCACAGGCATCCCAGCTGCCTTGCCAACCCAGGGAGGATGTAAACAGGGGGAGAAAGCCAGGGTGCAGCTCAGACAAGTCAATTTGCTGCCACATCCAGAGGCTGGGAGATTTGGACTGCAGGAAGCAGCAGTTCCTCTTCTCCCTCTCCCCAAATCCCTAACCCTCTCCCTTCTGCTCTGCTCCCAGAGAAGCTGCAAGACCTGATGAAGAAAAACGTGTTTGAGGCAATGTTTCCCCTGCATGAGGTGAGGCTGAGCATACGGGTGCCTGGGAGGAAAATCCAGGACAGGTGGAGGAGCAAGACAGGGTGGGAGAGACCTGTGGGTAACCGGGGCTGCCCCAGGAGCTTGCTGGGTGAAGAGCACGGCAAAGTTCCCGGCAGGAGCCTCGGAGCCGGGCAGGGAATTGAGGGTGCACTGGTATTCCTGTATCCAACCGACTTCTCTGCTCTCCAGAAGGAAGCGGTAAGGGAATTCTCCAAGGACAATTGGGCTCGCTGGAGAGGTGTATTTAACGAGCAGCCAATTGAGAAGATCAGGTAACACGGGCAGAAGGGGCAGAGCTTTCTAACCAAGAGGTCCCACCTGAGACCCAGAGAGCTTGATGACCTTTGCCAGGCTCCTGCCTTGCCTTTGAAATCATCGCTTTGAACCTTAAAATCATACTTTTGAACAAGCACTGGGCTGCTCCTGAATCTTCCAAAGCTCTTAGCCTGAGGGTTATCCCTGTGGCTCCCAGCTCCATCTGCTAATCCTGCAGCATGAAACAACCCCCACGTCTGTGTGGGTTTTAATTAACCCGGTTGGTTTTCAACCACATTCAGAAGGCAGGAGAGGTGGGAACGGAGCATTAGTGCATCAACCCAGCCTGAGGCTGACCTCGGGGCAGAAAAGGCAATGAGGGGCTCCCACAACCACATTAAACCCCAGAGAAGAGCACAGCTCTTATTTTTGAAAACTAGCTCCACAGGCATGAGGGGAAAAAAGAACGTGTTGCTTCATAAACCTGTCAAGGGGCTCTGTTAGGGAGGGGAGATCTTAAAATGGAGGTGCTCTCACCTTCCTTAAACATTTTACACATCTAGAAGAGGCGCTGGAGACTGCACAACCTGATTTCTAAGGTCAGTGTGTCGTGACTTGTTGCTATCACACAAGGATTAAAGGGCTGAGTATTAAATTGGGGGTGGTGGTATGGGGAGGTGTTGAGGTTTTTGTTTAAACAAAGGGCAGGGAGCACATCACCACCTCTGACTGCCGGTAGGAAGTTAATTCCCCTGGAATACAGGAGGGGAGGCTGGTCCCTCGGTCAGTAGGTACCATAATTTCTTATCCACGCCTCCAACCCAGTTCCTACACCATAAAAACCGAGGTGCTGCCACCATGGGACATGGAAGCACTGCAGGGAGGTGGCTGAGCCCAGGAGGAGGATTTGCTCTGGTCTGAGAAAGCTGGCACCCCACAGCCCTCCCATCCTCTTCAAGCCCAGTGTTTCTAAAATTGGAACCTGGTCTCTCAGCCTTTCCCTCCATTCTCAGCATGAGGCCTATTTGACACCACGGAGACATAAAATAGCTGCTCTGCCCACCTGGGCTGACTCTCCCCATCCCAAGGTCCCCAGACACTCAGACCCCCTGCCCCTCCCAGACCCAAAATCCCTCGGGGCATTGAAGAGCATTTTTTAGTGACCCCCAACCACCTGATCTCCTCTCTGGCTGCAAACCCCATCTCACCTTTCCTCCCAGGTGCTATTTTGGTGAGAAGGTGGCCTTATACTTCGCCTGGCTAGGCTGGTACACCTGCCTGCTGGGTGTTGCTGCACTGGCTGGGGTGCTGACCTTCGTGGCTGGGATTGCTCTCTTCAGTTCCAGCCAGGTGAGGTAAGGCACTTGGGAATGCCAGACATGCATCCCATTCAGGAGTCTGTGCTCTGCAGGGAGCCCTGAGCCACCATTATCCCCCTTTGCTTCCCCTCCTGCTTCCCCTGCAGCAGGGAGATCTGTGAAGCCAACACCACCATCATGTGCCCGCTCTGCGACAAGAAGTGCCCCTACTGGGTCCTCTCTGACACCTGCACCTACGCCAAGGTAAGGAACCCCCTTCCCAAAGGCAGCCTCAAGGTGAAGGATGGGGAAACACTCCCGGCTTGTGCTGCTCCCACGCCACTGGAAAGAAAACCCATCCCAGATCACACTTTCCACCTCCATCGAGGATGATTTTACCAGTAACAAGCCCCAGTGTCCATCATCTTCCTGCATTTTGCCCTCCTGCAGCACCTATACCTGTCTCAGGGGAGACCAGGCTGACAAGAGGGTGGCTGAGCACGCCCCGAGGTGCCACAGCTCCTGTGCCTCCCTGCCCCATCACACTCTTCCTTCATCTCCTCCAGGTCACTCACATGATTGACAACGAGGCCACGGTCCTTTTTGCCATATTCATGGCCCTCTGGGGTAGGTGCCAATGTCTGGGTGCCCAGCACACACGGGTTGGGAGAGGGAGCAGGTGGTGGAAAGTGGGGCGACAACACAGCTTCACCGTTCAGGATGGGGTTTAGCCCTTATCTCCTCCCCTTCCAGACACAGCAAAGACAAAATCACCCTAGTGATATCATCCAGCTCCCCAAACACTCCTTACCTGTCCTACCTGAGGCTTCCACTCACCACAGCCTCCCCCAAAGCACCCAGCAGCCTCTGGCTGGACCTTTTTTATCAGCTGCCTGTAAGTGGCCATAGCTGCTGGAAGGAGGGACCTCCAGAGCCCTCCTCAACCTTTCCAAATCACTTCACAGCCTCTTATTTGCTGTGGGATGATGAGATCCCATCATCACCTGAGCTACACACTTATTTGGCTTTGCCACAGCCCCCTCAGTTACCAACCACCTCTGGTGTGGGCTGGGTGCCCACAGGTCACGGGCACGGTCCTGTGTGTAGCCATGGGCTGGGTTACACAGGGTCAATCAGGAGGATCAGTCCAGATTAACAGGAGGGAAGAGGATTTGCAGGGGTGTAGCTGTGCCAGGGTGCAGTGCAGGACACCCATTCCACCTGAAAAGTGCATTTTTCATCAGTCTCAAATAACGTGTCTGCCTGCTGCCACATGAACATGCCCAGCGCAGCAGGACAGCCCTGGGGCTCACTCTGGCTTACCCCAAATTCCCTGTGGGCACCAGAGCTGGCCTGACTGTCAGTGAAAGCTCACCTGCACCATCCCCATCCCCTCACTGCTCAATGCTCAGAGTCCTGCCAGCTCACTGAGCTGTAGAGGTGACCTGTCCTTCACGGGCCAAGGGCAGTCCAGGCTGGTTGGCATCGGGTTGGATGGGACATGACTCTCCGTCTTGCTCTGTGGGACAGAGGGATGGCTTTCAGAGCCATCCCTGAGTGTCACTGCACTCTCTCCTTCCCAATCCAGCCACTGTGTTCCTGGAGCTGTGGAAGAGGCAGAGAGCCACTGTGGTCACCAACTGGGACCTGTACGGGTGGGATGAGGAAGAGGTGAGGACATCATCTTTCTTGCTCTATGCTTTTCTTCTCAGGAGTCACCTGGACATAGAAAAGATACGTCAGAGGAGTCCCTTGCCCAGCTTGAGCTCAGTCAGGCTTAGCCATGCTGTTGTGGGTTGGGTGCTTATCCCTGTCCTTCTCCAGCACTGCTTATCCCATATGTCCATTGACACAAGGACCCCTGGGCACTGCTCTGCTGGATCCTTTCTTTCTCATTGTTTTTAGTTTTATTTTTTTATTCATTTTTAAGGAGGAGCTGGCTATGGGACTGATCAATAATTTACAGTATGAACCTCGGAAGTACCAACACTCCTACTTCCGCAGCACCATCGTCCTCCTCTTGGTTCTGTTGATGGTACGTGACAGGTGACCACGGGAAGAAGGTCTGGTTTAAGGGAGAGTGGGCTTCCTCCTTCCCTCCCTACTCTGGAGCACCTCAGAGCATGCTGTTGCTGCAGCAAAAGCAGAGACCAGGTTTTTAGGGCCGGTCTGTGCCCATTACAAGGATCCGGGGGCTCCCTCACGTTCACACCTTGCTGTGCTGATGGCTGGGGCTATGTACCCTTTGGGGACCTGGGCTGAAGGCTCTGCTCTGGCAGCAAAGATCAAGGCAGTGACCCAGAGGGCAGGAAGAGGCAAATCTCAGTGTCCTCGTGCCCCTCTGTGGGCCAATGGAGAGTCCAGACTGGTTCAGATGGAGATGTAGAATCATGGAACCACAGAATGTTAAGGGTTGGAAGGGACCCTAAAGATCACCCAGTCCCAACCCCCCTTGCCCTGCACAGAGACACCTCCCACTAGACCAGGTTGCTCAAATCCTTATCCAACCTGGTCTTGGACGCCACCAGGGTTGGAGCATCCACAACCTTCCTGGGCAACCTATTCCAGGGCCTCATCACCCTCACAGGGAAGGATTTCTTCCTAACATCCAGCCCGAATTTCCCCTCTTTCAGCCTGTACCCATTACCCCTTGCCCTACCCCCAACACCCACCTCACGAACCTCCCACCCTCAACTGTGGAGCGTGGGTTTGCCCTTGAGACCACACCCAGATCCCTGGTGGCCCTTGGGCGGGACAGGGCACACGTGCCCTTCCATGCCCTCCTCCGGCCTTCCTTCCTTCCCCCGCAGATCCTGGTGCTGATTGGCATCGCCCACGCGCTCGTCATCTACCGGGTGATCGCCACGGCGCTCTTCGCCCAGAGCAGCCTGGGGCTGCTGCGGGAGCAGGCGGACACCATGGCCGTGATAACGGGGGCCATGCTGCACTACCTCACCATCGTCATCATGACCAAGGTGCCGAGCGAGGCGGGGGCGCCCCGGGGGTCTCCTCCCGGCCTCGCCGCCCCGCTCACGTTATCCCCCTCTCTCTCCCGCAGATCAACAGGCGCGTGGCCCTCTTCCTCTGCGACCTGGGTAAGGGAAACTGGGGGTGTCTCCCGCCGGCACACCCCACACCTGCAGCGCCCGCTGGTACCTGCAGTACAGCACAGCTCCCCTGCCATTCCCAAATGCACCCAGGCTCCCATCCCCTCCCCATCCTCCGCCATCACAAGGCATCTCCCCCGAAGCTCCAGCCAGGCAGGTCCCTGTGGGAGGCTAAGCAGCCCCCCCCAAACACACTCATCTGCGGCCCACGTGCTGCCAGCTTTGCTGCTCCACAGCCACATTCTTCTTTGTAGGGACCTTCACCCTACAGGGCTGAGACCCAGCACAAGCAGGAAGGCAACACAGCTCCAGGGGAGCTCACAATGTGGATTTCCTCCCAACATGGATTTCCTCCCAGCTGAAAAGCCCTTTCTCCCCAGGCTCATGGTTCTGAGGGACCTCCCTGCTCAGCTGGGCTCCCTTCCATCAGAGGGCTCAGATGGAGGGCAGGAACACCTTTCCAACCTTCACAGAGCTGCTGTAGCACCTGAGAGGGAACAAGGCAAGGTCCCACTGCTCTGTGACCAAGCCCCCGGGCCTTGCTCCCTTTCCTAGAGAAACCACGGAGCTTCTCCCAGCGGGAGAAAACCTTCACCATGAAGATTTTTACCTTCCAGTTCTTCACAAACTTCTCCTCGCTCATCTACATTGCCTTCTTCCTGGGACGGTGAGTGGCAGTGGCGGGGGAGCAGAGGGCAGATGGGGCTTGGGGTGCACGTCCCCAACTCTCCCCAGGGCCCAGGGACAGACCCACTCCCCCGCCCTCCCTGCCGGGCACAGGGACCCCATTTGGGACTCGGGGGGCCATGACTCAAAGGGTATTGCTGTTGTTGCTTCCTCGCCCAGGATCAACGGCCGCCCAGGGCACTACGTGCGCATCGCCGGCCGGTGGAGGCTGGAGGAGGTGAGGAACTCGCCCTGAAGCTCTCTGACCCCAGAAGCAACTCCTCCTCTTCCTTTTCCTACTGCCACTAGAGAGGGTCTGGGAATCTCAGCTTCCTCCTCTAGCAAAGGGCCCCTTGGGCCTGCCCACTCCGCTTGCAAGGCACAACCCTTCTCCTCTCCTCCCTTCCAGTGCCACCCCAGCGGATGCATCACTGACCTCTTCATCCAGATGGCCATCATCATGCTGCTCAAGCAGACCATCAGCAATGTGATGGAGTATCTCATCCCGTAAGCTTCCCTTGCTGAAGCTCCTGCACAGCCAGGACACCGACCCAGCTCTCACAGAGAGGAACCCTGGTCTTTGGGCCAGGGTGTCCTCCATTCCCTTCCTCCAGGCATGTCCCAGCAGCAGTCCAGCCCTGCTGCCCTCTGCAGCAGCCACGCAAATCCCTCTGTCTTGCAGCTGGATAAGCCACAAGCTACGCAAGACGCACAAGCGCCCCAAGAAGAGGAGCATATTTCTGGGAGAGGAGGAGGAGGCTGAGGACCCCTGCAAAAGGCAGTGGCTGAGAAACTATGAGCTCAACGAGGTCAACGTCTTCAGCTTGTTCGATGAGTTCTTGGAGATGAGTACGTAGGGCAGGGGATCGGGCGAGGAGGGCGCTGGGGCAGAGCCACGGGTGCCCCTTGGCTGGAGAGTGCTGGATGCTGGGGAAGGGATTCCTGTAGGGAAGGGAGAGCCCTGAGCCCCACCTCCACACTCAGTCCCACTGTGAGTGCTCTGGTACACCAAGGAGATCATTCCCAAAACAGAGGGAGCGGGCAACTGTGCTGGCCTCAGACCTTCCTCTCCTCCCAGGGTGATGGCTGTAACCCCAGTGTGGTCCCTCAACCAGTGCTCTGCGGGTGCCCACAGATCCCCCCTCTGACAGCCCCATGAGAGCTAGGGGTCCCCAGTGGGGGTGTGGGGTCCTCAAGGCACGCCTATCCCCCACTTCCACCCCTGCAAAGCCCCTCTCACGCAAGCCACAAAGCAGGACTAACCCAGACAGCGTTCTGGAGCCTGGGGGACGTCTGCTCTGCAGTGACTTCACACCAGCACCCGGTGTCTCCCTCTCTGCAGTGATCCAGTACAGCTTCACCACCATCTTTGTCGCTGCCTTCCCCCTGGCCCCGCTCCTGGCGTTCTTGAACAACATCTTCGAGATCCACCTGGACGCCATCAAGATGGTGCGGCTGCACCGGCGCATGGTACCCAGGAGGGCCAATGACATCGGTGAGAGGGGCTCCACGGGCGCCCTCCTGCCAGCACTGCTGCCTGGGCCAACGGCGCCGGGGCTTAGCCCCTTCCCCAGGAGCCCCTGAGTGTCCCATGGAAGTGGGAGAGCATGGGGACAGCTGTGGGGCAGTTTGGACTGGCCATGCCAAACCTGTCTCTGAGATGGAGCTGAGTGGGGCTGCAACCTGCCAGTGGGGTGGCAGAGGGGCCTCACCAGCTGCTGTTCTCCTGCAGGGATCTGGCTGCAGGTCCTGGAGGCCATCGGCATCCTGGCTGTCATTGGGAACGGGCTGGTGATTGCCATCACCTCTGACTTCATCCCCATGCAGGTCTACAAGTACATGTACAGCCCCTGCGTGGGGGAGAACCGCACTGACGTGGAGTGAGTTCAGCCCCTGAGCAGAGCCCACCTGCCTCGGTGCCACCGCTGCAGGAGCACGAGGAAGCTGAGCTGTCCCCCAAAGTGGGGTGGGGGGAAAGGGGAGCTGGGCAGGGTTTCCAGTGGCATCACCTTCAGCATCCCAGCTGGCCTCCCCCTCACATCATCCCCATGGTGGGTAAACTGGTGCTCTTACTGGAAAGGGCACCATGTAACACGGGAGAGCTGCAGGACTGCCGAGGTGCTGGCTCACGCTCTCTCCTGCCCTCCCCCCGTTCTTCCAAGCCTTGGCTGACTGACCCAGTGCAGTCAAACTAGACAGAAGTCTCAGAGACCTCCATTTCCCCCAGGCTGTGTGAAAATGGGGAGGGAAGGAGGGAGGGGAAAGAGAGGCCCAGGTGGGTGCTGGCTCCCCCAAAATGGGAGGTTACAGTGCTTAACCACACTACGAGTCACCTGAGAATCCACACACCGGGGAAACCTTAGAAATGAAAGCTGCAGACAGATGGGCTTTGTTGCCATCTGGGGACCTCTGAGTCCCCCAGAAGAGACAAGAGCTGCTTGGCTTAGGGCCTCCCACAGCCCCCCAAAACGGCCACAAACCCAGTCCTTCCCCGCAGCTGCTCCACGGGGTACATCAACCACAGCCTCTCCGTCTTCCGCATCCGGGATTTCGAGCCCGACATGGGTGTGCCTGAGATGCTGCCAAACTTTGACAGGGATGAGATCAAGGAGTGCAGGTAAGAGCAGCCCCCCCACCACCGTGCCCCTCGCCGTTACATCCAGCCTGCAGCCAGGGGACGGGGGGGTGACGGAGCTGGAGGCAGCTGGAGGAAGCTGCTGGGGCTCCTCTCGGACCCCCACGGAGGGAGCCAAGGCAGGATGTGACACCTGGCATGGAGGAGCCCAGGCTGGCACCGACGGGGCTGTGCTGCAGGTACCGGGATTACCGGAATGCCGACGACTACACCTACACCATGCAGTTCTGGCACGTCTTGGCAGCCCGGCTTGCCTTCCTCATCATCTTCGAGGTGAGCGCCCAGGAGGGCAGGAGAGGGCTGGGGCAGGGGGAAGGGACTGGGTCCAGGCTCCTTGCCCAGGCTGGGAGCCCCTGACTGCCTTTGCTCCCTGCAGCACGTGGCTCTGTGTGTCAAGCTGATCGCAGCCTGGTACATCCCCGACGTCCCCCAGAAAGTCAAGAACGAGCTTCTGTGCAGAAAACACACTGACCTGCGTAAAGAACTGAGGTGGGTGATGCCCCAGAAGGTGCCAGGGGTTTGGAGATGGTCCACCCTGCAGCAGGAGACCTGCAGGGCTGAAGGATCTGTCCATTCCAGAGCCCCTTTTCCTTTGAAAAAAGAAAAGCTCCAAGTTAAAATAAGGAGTGATTTTGCCCAACTTTTCCATCTAAACTTTGTTCAATGTAAAAGGATTAAGTATTTCGGCAGGAAACTGAACCAAGGCAAACAAGAGCCCCAGGCTGGGCCACCCTGGTGCTGCTGTCCCCCACAGACTGAGCCCCACTCTCGGGAGAGTTCAATCCCTTCATGGCCACCCTGTCCCAACTGCCACCCATAATCCTGGTGGGAGCAGAGAGTGGCGTTCGGGAAGCACCACATTGCCACAGTTCAGCTTTCCAGCTCTGCCTTCCCCTCATCTGCGGGATTTCCCACAAACAGGGGTTTCCCACAAACAGCCTGTCATTTTTCTTCCCGTTATTTTTGGCAAAAGGCCCCGTTCCCACTCGGAGCGTTTTTTCAGATAGTTCCCCTTCCCCAACGCCCCTCTCCTCTCTCCCCAGCATGATGGAGTACTCCACCGAGGTGTAGCCACCGCTCACCCAGGAGAAGGAAAACACAGACCCAAGCCCCCTCCCCAGCCTGGCAGTGCCAGGGGTGCTGGATGAACCCCCTGGCACAGTGCCATGTGTGACTGAGCTGGACTTGAACTGGGAAGTGATGCGAAGACGGTGGCTTCACAGGAGCAGGATGCTTTCCGACTTGGAAAGGAAGGACGCTGTAGCAGAGCTGGGATGTGCCTCCCCTGCACACGGAGTAGCTGGGACAGAGCTGTAGCACTGGGGGCAAACCTGGGGGCAGCACCCGGCTGGGCTGCAGGAGGTGGCCTAAGTCCTCCTCACTCACTGCCTTAAGCACAGGAAACACCAGTTACCTCATTCCAGGTTCCCTCTCCAGGCCTTTTTTTTGCACTTTGGCCTCTTTTTCCACTGCCTTCTGTGACCTCCCCATTCCGCACCACTGGGGAACACGAGTCCCTCTTTCACTGCAGTCCTCCTCGGCATGATTCCCACGTGGCTGCAGCTGTGACCTGCTGTTTCCCTGGAAAAAATGCCGTTGTTATCCCGACTGAGTTTAGCTCCAGGCTCAGCTGAGTCCTGACAGTTGTGCCTGGCTCAACTACCGCCAGCAAACAGTAAATAAACACAACCCACACGCGGACACGCAGACTTTCACCTGCTGCCTGGTGTCGCTCCTGCCTTCCTCCTCTGCCATCCCCAACACCCAAAGAAACTGTGCCCCAAAACCTTTCCTTGTCTCACTGGGGACAATCACAACAGGTGGGAGCTGCAGTGCCCATGGTGAGGACTGAGTGTGGGTGCTGGCTGGTGAGACACCAGATTTTGGTGCTTGGGCCGTGCACAGTAGGAAAAACGGCCTGGTAAATGTGCCAGAATAATGGAAATACCTGGGAAAATTGGAGGGAAAAAATCAGCAAACTTGAAATGGCAGGGCTAGAAATGGTTATCCCACCTCTTCCCTTAGTGCTGGCTGGGCCTCTGACTGCTGCAGAGAGAAGGGGTTTGTCTCCAGTGGGAGTGGGATTCCACCCCAGGGCTGGATGGGTGCCACAGCTCCAGGGGGGCGGATGAGTGATCCAGAAGCAGAGCTGGGGAGCTCCTACCTACCACAGGGATAACCCTGATAGACAAAAAAGGTCTTATCAGCTCCCTATTTGCTCCCAAACCTCCTCATACCCTTGCTATCCCCAGGACCTGGGCTTGTTCCATGTGATCCTTTACTATCCCACAAATCCAACAGGTGGATTTCACAGGCAGTGCATCACAGTGTCCGTGACACGTGTTCAGCAGTGCAGCCCCCCCAGACAGGGCTGCTCCATCAGCTGCTGTCCCAAACACACACAGCCAACAGCTGTGGGACACAGGAGCAGGGGATTCTTCCTAGACCTCCAGTGGGGTTCCCTCTGTTCCTTTTCCCCCCACAACAAGCCAACAGCACCAGCATTTTACATCATAACCGATGAGGAGTCAGAGCCAGGGTGTTTTTCCATGTGAACAGGCTCACAGACCTACTTGTGACCTCTACCTGTCTATTCTGTATATATATATATATCTATATATATCTATAAACACATACACACACATTCACACCCAGGGCCCCTTGCTTCCCTTTTTGGCCCCAAAGCATTTGCCTGTCGATGCTTTTGCTGCTCAGCACCTGCAGTTCATGCTGGTGTTTCTCCAGAGGCTGGTGGTGCTGCTGCTGTGACCAACCTGCGCCTGGGGTGTGCTGAGGCTCTAATCACCTCCTTGCTAATTAGTTCAGGTGATACCTGCTGTCCACAAGCGGCCACGGCCAGATCCAGCTCCCCACAGCCAGTGCTGGCTGGAGCAGCCACCTCCAGCACCAGCTCCAACGAGCTAAAGTCACAGAGAGAAGGAAGCAGAGAAAACAGGAGACCCCACAATGCCCACGGGCACAGCCAACAGCCTCCCCCAGCTCCCCCCACCAGTGACTCACCTCCACGGAGCCAGAGAGTGCTGAGTTTGCCAGTGCTCAGCACACCATGACCCCAAAGTGCAGTCCCCAGCTCCAACCCATTCTCTGGAACACTCCCCCAACATCCTCCCTGCCCGGTGTGGGGGGGAAATGGGGCAGGTTTCATCTTGCCCTGACACCTCAGTGGGTTGGGTTGTTGCCCCTCTCTTCTTTTCTCCTTTATTCTCTCTCTTCCCCTCCCCTGAAGCCAGAGATGTTGGATTTTTTTCCCTGCAGGTTCAGGTGGAGGTGGAGCAGTGGGAGGGAGGGACGGCCAACCCTTCCCACAGCCCTGGAGCCCAGGGATTGGGGCGGCGGCAGTGCCCGGACGAGGGCAGGGGCTGAACCGGGAGGAGAAATAGATAAATTATTAAAACAAAAGAAAAAGAGAAAACCCAAGCACTGATCTGGCCGGTCTGGTCGGCTTGAGCAGGAGGGGACAGGCAGGAAGCCTGAGGCCGAGGAAACTCCGAAGGTAAACGCAGCTCTGTTCTGCTTCCCTTTCCGCCCCGATGCCGCTTTGGACAGGGTCAGCAGGGTTTCAGCCTCACCCCACGCCCTGTGGTTCTCCTTGGGTTCTCCTTCACTCTCCTCTGGTTTTTCTCTGGCTCTCTATCTGGATTTCTGCTGCCCCACAACCCCCTGGCCACTGTGCCTCCCTGCCCGCCTCGCTTTCCCCATGGCTGAGCTCCAGGGAATGCTGCCCCAGAACCAGCACCCCCCGCCCCATGGCATCCACCATCTGGGATGTCCCCAACCCCAAGATGTGGGAAATGGGAGCTGCAGCTGCCTGTTAGCGGGTGCTCCTCCCTCCCCAGCACTCAGCAGCCCTGGCACCCACTCCCCTGTGGGCATCCAGCACCATGTCAGGAGCAGGGGGGGCTTTGGGATCTTCCCACACTCCCTGACCAGGCTGAAGCTTGTTGGGGCTTCCTTATTCCAACCAGCTAAGGGAAACGATTTAGGAGTGACCCATCCAGGGTGGAGTGAGCAGAGCTGGAGCATCCTGCCAGGCAGAGACAGCCCCATGCCACCCCGGTGAGCGTCTCCCATCCTTTCTGTGTGCGAAATCCAGCTGGGCTGGCTCTCCTCCACCCCTTGCTCTTCCTTCCTTGGCCATGGAGAAGCCCAGTTAATCCTTTAGGTACAAATCATTTTGCTGCTGCTCAAGCTGAACACATAACGCGCGTCCCGCGCGTACCTTGACCCCCTGTTTAACCCCGGGCTGGTACGGGGCTGTGCCAGAGGGGAGCACCCTGCCTCCATCCCTGCTCTGAGCTGAGCTGCACCACAGACCACCCCCTTCCCCTTCCACACCAGCAGACACAGCTTCTCCAGGCTGAGCCCAGCCCTGCTGCCACCCAAAATCAGGGTGCAGCTGAGAATGCCAAAGCTCCAGGGAGAAGAGGCAGCTGGGAGAGGCTTTCCCCCCTCCTGACCCCCAGAGTTAGGCCGGGTGTTTACGATGGAAACACCAGCACCGTGGTGTCCTTGAGACTCCCACCTCAGCCCTGGCACCCCCATCACCCACACCAGGGCTCCGTGGGTGTTTGGGGATGGCAGAGCCCGACCTTGCCAGGCTCTGCTCTGCCATCTGCTCCCGGTATCTGCCTCTTCCCACGGGGCCATGGTAGTGCCACCGCTGCCTATTGTGTGAGGGGGGGGTCTCTGTGTGCCATCCCTGTGCTCCCCACTTTTGCCTGGCATGTCGTGCAGCTGTGCCAATCCCTGGCCACAGCCATGGGGTAGCAACCGGACACGCCGGGAACGAGGCACCCGCTCGAGGAGCTCTCCAGGTGGGAGCCTGCGTTTCCATAAACAAACCCTCCTGCTGTTAATTAGCGAGTTCAAGGGCATGTCAGGCTGGAGGCAGCTCTGCAGCTCATGGCGGGCTTGGCAAGCAGAGGGAGTCCTGCTGAGCCCTCCCAAGGCACGGATTCCAGGGAAGGTGCTGCACACCCTCTGGCTGAGCTCGCTTCCCCTCCCTGGTCTTGGGTTTGAGCTGAAGCCGCATTCTTAACATCCCACAGCACCCAGTTGGTCATTAATCACCTCCCACCCGTAAATCCACTGTTGGGAAAGCCAGGCTAGGAGTCGGCGCAGGGAGGGCAGGTGACACAGTGGCCACCAGGCCGTGGGTGGGACTTTGGCTTTACCACAGAGCATCACCCACCACCCCCAGACCGAACTGCTGCGGGGACCGATGGGGATGGCTGGGCGCTTCCAGAGCAGGCAGCGCTCACAGAGCCCTTCCTGGTCTCTCCCAGGCCCAGCCCGCCCTGTGGCACAGGCAGGTGGACTTTGCCCCCCCCGGAAGACGCTGCACGCAGGGCCCTCCGGGGATGCCGGCAGCGCCCGTCACCTGAGCACACCATGGCAGGTGGGTGAAATCCAAACTCTCACCTGCTCTCAGCTGGGAAGGGTCCCCGTGCAGGCACAGCTGGGGGTCCTATTCTGGCTTCGCCTCATGGGGTGGGAGAGGGTCCATCCCAGCCCCCAAAACCGGCTCAGCCTGTTGCTAAACAGCCCTGAGCGCTGCTCGCTGCCAGACCCCCACGGCAGAGCTTGTTTTTCCGGGATGGCTACGACAGCAGGGAACTGGATCAGCTGTCCCATCCAAAGCCCCTCCCTGCTGTGCCCCCAGACCTCTGCAGCGTGCCCCCCGAAATCCTGGTCCCGGCTGCCAACGAGACGCTGGACCTGGTGCTGGGGAGTCAGATTGTGCTGAACTGCACCGTGCGCTGGGCCGGGGCCGAGAGCTGCCGGCCCATCCCTGCCTGGAGCAAGGATGGGCAGTGGCTGGGCAATGGGAGCAGCCAGGACACCGCCTGGTAAGGAGCCGGCCCTGGGGACATCCATCCATCCATCCATCCTGGGGGGGGGGTCACCACACAGCCCAACCCATGGCGGCCCCATTTCCCCTCAGGTCTGCCCAAAATGCCTCGGAGCAGCTCCTGGCCACCGTCCTGCACCTCAACCTCACCCACGATGACGACTTTGGGGTGTTTACCTGCTGGCTCAGCAACGCCACAGCCACCTTCACCCTGCAGCGAGCGGGTAGGGACAGGCTGGGGACAGGGAGGGGACACCCCCACGGAGAGCCCGCATGCCATGGGGGATTGATGTGGGTAATAGGGGCACTGCTGCCTCTCCCGGGGTGCAAATCTTCACCAAACCCAGAAAACCCAGGCCAGGGACGCCGGCCACACTCACCACGTCCTTCCCTGTCCTCGCAGAGACAGCGGGGCACGTGCCGGCGGTGCTGGCAGCCCTCCTGGTCCTGGCACTCCTGGTGCTCCTGGCTGTGCTCTACGTCCAGTGCCGCCTGAACGTGCTCCTCTGGTACCGGAACCGCTACAGCGAGCTGGAGATCAACGGTGAGCCGGAGGGAACAGCTCCCCTGGGAACAGCCTCCCCTGGTCCCCAGGGGCTCACAGACCCCTCCCTGTGACACCCCCTGCCCCGTGGCTCTCCCCAGACGGGAAGCTGTACGATGCCTACGTCTCCCACGCCGCTGCCCCCGACGACCGAAAGTTCGTCCACTTCATCGTGAAGCCACAGCTGGAGAACCGCTACGGCTACAAGCTCTTCCTGGACGAGCAGAACATCCTGCCCAACTCAGGTAGGCACCAGCCCCCCATGGGGCTGGGCAGGGTGGTCGCATGGGCGCCCAGGGGCTTGAGACCCCTTTGCCCACAGAGCCATCAGCCGACCTGATCATGAACGTCAGCCGGTGCCGGCGCCTCATCGTGGTCCTCTCCGTCACGTACCTGGAGC